TTGTCATTTGGAAATGAGATCGCACATAAGTATGAATCGAGATCGCGATTTTCTAACGATTAATCGTGCAGCCCTACCTGAAACTATGATTAAAGCTGTCCAACATTTCCTCCAGTTTTTAGACATAAACTTTGTTTCCTTGTACGCAACAAGTGGTCTTGAATGTTATATGATACTTACGTAAATGTAACATGGTACTGATACACCGCGTCGTTCTTGCATTGAATTTGGATGTGGTTTGACCCAATATTTATAGGAGCTCCTTTGGTTCCAGCCTTATTCAGTGGCTCACTGACGAGTGGAGAACATACATGGACAAAAAGATCAGTTTAAAGTAAAACGAATGATCAGTTACTGACCCAGATAAAAGCTCTGTCTTGCAAAATGTTAGATTTGATCAATACGGAACCAATACCACTAGATGACCTTTAATAAAATACACCATTATGTGCTCATAAGAGACAATGAGAATGTCAGAAGACGTGGATAAGTCAGAGGTAATGATGTTTTAGAATGAACAGCTAACACCAGAACACTCGCTCTGACCGTTAAAAGCCCCCAAACCACAACACAGCTCATGTTGGTTTGTTAGGACTCGCTAAGGTAAAGGAAATAGAGAAAAGCACTCACCGAACTGCCTCCATTGTCAGCTCTGTCTTTGCAGCCGGACCAGTGGAAAGGTCTGTGGCTTCTTGAACGGTGTGCACAGGCGACACAGTTCCTGTACAGTATTATGCATGTCATTACCCAAAATGCATGTTTCCCCCCCACAAATGAATCAAATTAAAATAAAAAACACAATTAAGATTGTATTAGACACATGCAAAAGAGGATGCACATAATAGTTTACTTGGGGTTCCTACACCTTTCTTTCCCTTTCAAGTTTTCAGACAGTTTCCAAATCTAAAATCTAGAATTCCTGCACAGGAATTCTTGTTTTTTCTTTTAAAAAGAGGATTAAAAACAAATTAAGGTGGTAAACTCTCAGTTTTCAATCCCTTTAAAATAATTGTATATAATTACCTGTCAGAGAGGGCTGAGAGTATTCTGTTTGTGGCTCAGACACTGGAGAAACAAACACGTCTTGACCTGCAGGAAATGAAGGAAGCAAAGCACGGCCTCTGCCAACTCCAAGCTGAGGCATAGCTGCTCTTCCGAGGCCCACCATTTTCTGAGGGGACAAACCTCGGCCAAGGAAACTGAAAAAGGCAAAATCCACAGAAGGAAAAGTCATATAATGGTTGTTCAATGCAGATAAAGTAAGTAAGTGTAATTTGGCACTGGCACTACTTTTTCCATC